TTACAGAATACCACTTCTAAGCTATTTTTAGTTGCTTTTCACTATATTGGGGGGGAGGCGGGACTCAAAAGGTGGCTACGTAGTTATGACTCTTAAGTTGCAGGTGACCATGTAGGTGGAAGTCACTTACCATTAGTCGACCCGTTTACTTGTTTGCATACTATTTCAAAAAAACTTCATGTTCTTAGTAATAATGTCACAAAAAAGGATCAAAATTTACCATACACAGCTAATCTAAAAATATGTCAGAAGGAGCATTTTCAAACAGTTTTATCAAAAGCCTTTAGTAGCAAAAGATTACTTAATGACCACAAATCTTTTCAAACACAAAGTACTAAAACAGGACCAAAGCTTCATTAATAGACTAGTTTATTTTAATGGGTTTAAAATGACTCCTTCAAGCGATGCCTTGTGGGAAATGTCACCTGCAGAAACGATCATGCAATGAATAAATCAAACCCGCTTTTGTGACGGCCGTTATGTGGCGAGTGTGTGACTAAATATAGAATGGACTACGAGAAATAGTTACCTGACAGTTAGAAATGTAAATCTCATACACACACACACACACACACATATAAAGATTATTTTTTGTTTTTTTTTTTAATCCCAATGCAATGACTAATTATTGTGTCAAAAACCACAGGGCACCGATCTGTTAAGAACAAAGAATGTCCATTCTAACATGCCTACGTTTGTTTGTTACGCTTTCACGTCTAAACCATTAAACTGATTTTGAAAAAAATTTTACCAATGGGAAGCTACATTATCATCAAATACCATAGGCTACTTTTAACCGCCATAAGCGATATACACGCAGATAGAGCAACGGGCCAAAGCTAGTATTATTCAAGCATTTTAAATAAACTTTATGGAAAAACCAAAACTCTTAAGATCCTGGGTCAATATTAATTTTGAACGTTACAAAGAGGCACTTTTGTTCATCGTAGATCTATGTCAGACTAATGGTGAAAGGAATTAGGTTGCTTCGTGCAATTTTTCATTCTGTCATCGCTCGAGTTCTTTCACATGCCGATATTACCAGATCGGATACTCCGCAGGGCGATTCAGGTGTAAATAAAAAACATATGGGCCTTTATAAAAGTAAGGAAATAATTAATCGCTTCTATTCTCTGATAAACTTTAGTTTTTTAGGCCCTTCATGAACGTCAATCAAGTATAGTTTTATTTTGGCTTTATTAAGGCGCCACGTAAAAAAAACGGTCAGATACGAGTCGAACTCGTGCGCCGAGGGTTCTGTACCTACCCAGCTTTTACGTAGATTAAGGTAAATTTTGGTACTTACAAGTTTTCGCGAAAATCGAAATTTGCCCATATCTTTTTAGTGTGTTAACCCAGGACCTTGACTTTTATACACCTAATAGAGACCATAGACCTACGTATCTGGTATTAATTTCAACTTGCTATGTCTATCCGTTCTTCAGAAAATCGGTGGTGACACACGGACAGACGGACAAGAAAGTGATCTTATAAGGGTTCCTATTTTACCTTTTGAGGCCCTAAAATCGAAGTTAAGCCATGTCGTAGTAGAAAGAAAGACTACCTCAAAATAAATGGGAAAAGGCCACACTTTGGTTACCCAATGGCACCACAGCACCGGCTCTGCCTAGTTTGAAATAAGACTGCCGGGTGTGAAATGTGTCTGGACTACTGTTAAACATACTTATATATTTCTAAATACATACATATTATAGATAAAGTACACACAGACAGAACAATCGTGCTCATCATAAAATTATTTGTCCTGGGTGGGAATGGAACCAATGTTAATGTTAATTTAATGTGTGTTAATGTTAATGAAGTGTTTTGAAGTTGTGTTTTTTTTCTTTACAAAAAGAGGCGCTGTGCATAACTTTATAAAAACTCTTTAATGAATCAGCACCCTATATAAAACCGTGAATCTAATTATAAAAAGCTTAATATTTTTCAAACATATTAATACAAACAGCAGAAGCAGTACCATTCCAACAAAATAAAAAGTCTGTAATACCCTCTTTAACTACAGTAATCCGATTATGATGTAGTGATGTGACAAGTTTTAAATATCGATAGACAACATGTTTAACACGAATAATTGACAGAAATTCTTGGTATATTAAAATTGACGTTAAGTGACTACAAAAACTATTAATTTATTTTAGATTTTTAAATGAGTATTCATGAAAATATTACCGTGGCGATATGTGTGTACGTTATAGGTTTGATCCCTACATAGTATAATACTTTGTGTAATCCACAAATTGTAAAAACCGCCGCCGAAAATACAGGATTTATTCCTAGTGTGGGAATTGTTCTTTAAAATAAGTATAAAGATTATGTATCTTCAACACAAAGAAAAGCCTCTGACTAAGAATCCTTATTTTGAAACCTTAGCAAATAATTACCAAGGCTGTCAACGGAATGATATGCAATATCCTAGTGAAGAACAATAATAAAGAAAATCCTTGTCATTTTTTAAATACTATCTTTTGCCCAAGGCTATGTCGGTTATCATAGTAAAATGTAGCCTATGTTACTCGTTGATATTTTAGCTTTCCATAAATAAAAGAATTGTTTAAATTAGTTTAGTGGTTTAGGCGTGAAAGCGTTATAAACAAATAAACTCACTTCAATATTTATAATGTTAGTATAATTAATAAATGTATACCATAAAGTAGTATATCTTGATGCCGTCCGTGTGGTGACGGATTAAGAATACGGATTGTCACCACCCCCACTCATCCCGTGGGTGTCGTAAGAGCCGATTAAGGGAACTATGCAGGACAACAAAACTGCAAAGAGAAGGAAAACTTGACACAAACCCTATACGAACCCGTCTGGCCAGCGTGGTATAGTAGGCCAAAACCTCCTTTCTAAGGAAAGGCCTATTCCCAGTAGTGGACTGTTAAAGGCCGTTGATGATAAAGTAGTACAGGCAATCAATGTTTTCATCATCATCAATCATCGTCAACAGCCTTTAATAGTCCACTGCTGGACATAGGCCTCTCCTTAGAAAGGACTTAATTATTCATCGTTTAATCAAAGGGATCCTAAAACAATAAAATACATTTTTGTAATACGCTGTAACCTTGAATAAGACAAAAACGATTAACCTTACCAACTCTTTATTTGTAATATACGATCTTAAGTTTTAGTTATGAAAGCCTTCACTAAAGATTACTCGAGATTACTAGAAACTCCTAATCTAAAGACAATTCATTCGACTATAAACCTCAATGTTCAGAAGTTTACTCTATTCACATATTTTTTTCATAAAAATTATTGTAGAAATAGTGATAAAACAAATCAATTATCAAGTTAGCAAATTTAAAGGACGCCTCCTATATTAAGAGAATTCTAATGCGTTGCATCGACAAACACAATGGCATCAAAATATATACGAGTAGTATGTACGGAAACTGCGTAAAGATTCAGAACAATGGCGGGCAATCACAGAAACAGATATCACATTAGGATATCTGATGGAGGGATTGTCTAAAAAAGCTACTACTACTAAGATTTACATAGAGCTGATTTTAAAAATCTGTGGCGTTATATTTCTTTAACTTTAGGATTTTCTAGTCCGTAATGAAAAACAGATTGAAAAATCAAAAAGCTTTGGTTAGGATACGTTATCTTTTTGGGATTTTTACGATCTAATTTTATATTATTAAAATATTTTACAAAACGCCTTGAACAATATAAAATTGTAAATAATGCCTAGTTAAATTACACTACCCATACATAATAATTAACGTAGGACACAGCTACATGAACAATTAAGCTAGTGTCAGTAACAAACAATGTCGATAAAAATTTAATGTAATATCGATAAAACGACTTCCCTTCCTTTTACCAACAAAAAACACTTAAAGTGAAAATTGCTACTAATTAAATGCTTAAAGCGAAAAATGTTTGCGCCAAAAAATGAGAAACAAAATACAAGAATCCACGCACACTTAATTTTACCTACCAAAAGTCCTTAGCAAAATCCAAAAACTTAAATTTCAGCGAGCTAGAATTAGCATCGCATTGCATTTTATTTTATTTTTGTAACTGTAGTTCGTATTTACGAAAATAAAAATGCTAGTACTCAATATCCTTTGACATTTCAACCAAAGAAAACCAACCTCAGGTTCTCATAGCAATGATTTCGTATTTAAAAAAAAACAACATGGCGGCTTCCCGCCCTTTTCACGTATACCATTTATCGTCTATGGAAAGCGCGCACGTTTCATGAGCGGTTACTTTACGGTTGCCACAAAAAAAAAACTACTGTAGATGACATTTTATCTTTGTGATTGAGTTGATGAATTTTAACGACTTATTAAATTATCTTTTTATTTTGTTGTGAACTTTGCATCGAAATATTTGTGTGGATGTATATGATGAAGATTTTATCAATAGTTAAAAATTCAGTTACTATTTTATTTGATATTACATTCGCTGCAAAAGGGTCATTAATTATGAATCTGTATATTAATTATGAATAAAAATATATGTGTTTCAATACAGCGTTGTTTTATTTGAATTGAATATTTAGTGATCTTCATTTAATTTTTTTCTTTTTGCAATAATCTTTTATGCATACTCGTTGATAGGCAGATTGAAAGAAATGGAAAAAGAAACCTTTATAAAGTCCTACTAAATAATAGGATCTGTGCTTGAATTTCATATTTCACTGCGAGTTAAAAATAGTTCATTATTTTGATAATTTTAATAAGAACCACAGAAAATCGCCGTTAAGCAAGTCTTTCGTTATAAAGTTCTGTTTTTCTAAACAGTTTCTAAAATTAACAACACCATAAAAAAAAAACGAATTAATTTTATTCTCTACCTTTAAACAATAAAATACTTGCGTTCGAACCTATCCTATTATTAAATGTGAGAAAAAGCTAATTTCAAAAAAATGATGAAAATAAGATAGGATATAGAAACCACACAATGAAACATTACAATTTCTAATAAAATAATCTTTTGTTTCATGTCTGGCCAAGCAGCAGAAGGACGTTGAAATGGTAAGTGGAGTCTTAACTTTTGTTTTACATTTAGTACATTTGACGGTTTTATTTGTCGCCTTGAATTGATCTAGTCGGTGGTATTCGGCTGAGGCCTACAGAAAACCATAGCATCGAATTCCTTGATGCGCCATAAGATATTGTTACAGCATTTGAAGTCTTCATGACTTTAAATGTACAGGTTATTCTTAAACTTTTTGTTTACACATGGGAAAACGCAATAAAATCTGAGAAAATGACAATCTAATAAAATAAATAAATATATCAATTTATGGACGGTTAAACACACATAAGGATTTTAAATCGCTCCTAAACTCTATGTTTTCTTTAATTTACAACATGTTATGATTAAAAAGGTAGGTCCTTATAAATTTATGCGAGAATGAAAGATGGGAAATGCCGACTTAAGACCGTGGTTTAAATGAAATATTTCCATATTGCTTTGTATAATAAGATTGGCTCACCTTCCCGAAAGAGATGAAAAGTTATTCACGCTTTAATGACAAACTGGTGGTGATGTGAGCCACCTTTAAACGAATGTATTGTAACAGTAAGTAGATATAAGATTTACCTCTTTGTGAAGAAGCTTTATTTTCGTTTCTTTGTGTATTGCCATCCTCTTTCTTTCCATCACTTTTGACCCTCCTAGGAAGTCCTCAAATTTGCATTTAGTATTAAAACAATTAGTATCAGAACTTTCCAAAAATTGAATTTGATGAAATGTGTGATATTCGTTATAAGATACGAACTGCTAGTTTGAATTACATGTATAATCCTAGGGTCTATTGCAAAGGGCTTTAAGTAAACGTGCTCGAGATGCTGCTTATACTTGTCAATAGTTATACTGGCAAATTTTGCTATTTTTAAAGTCAAATCTAAAACCATCTCTAAATTTATAAATAAAGTTATCTCTAAAGTGCCAAAGGCAAAATCTGGGTGTTCAAACCGCCGTTGTCTATCACTGAAGGAACAAAGCGTTAGAGTATATATACAAAGAAATTCTTGATAGCATGAGTCATCTTTATTGATCTAAAGACGTTTCACACGTCATGGCATATACATTGTAGAAAAACTTTTTTCTTCAAACTTTCTTGGAATTTTCGGTGTGAGGTGGGGACCTCACACCGAAAATTCCAAGATTTAAACTTGATATGCAGAACATTTATTATTCAAAAACTTTTTAAATATAATTAGTTGATAACAAAAGGCACACACGACAATTACGCCTATTACCCAAAGCCCAACCCTGTTATTTTCTATGCATATCTAATTAATAAGCATTTACATTGCAAATGTTCTTTGGAATACTTCGTTGAGCTAGGCCTAATGGAACGGGTAACCATAATTTAACTAAATTACCTTCGCAGATGATTCATCCTAATTAATATTTAAAATGTAATTGTAAATTTCTTTATGTGTGTGTTGTTTACCACATAAGCAATCATCTTGAAACTTTGTGTACAACCTGTCAAGTGTATTGCCGTCTACTGCTGAACGAACGCCTCCTACAAGAGAGCATCCATCGCATCCATCGACACGTTGTCATCAGCACAGAAGAGGACATAGGGTTCCTTTTATTCAGAAAAAGGACCAATTCCAAGGGATAATTATACCAATTATTTTGAGAGGGTCGTCCATTATAAATTCCATATTGACGCGAGTGAACCTGTGAACAAAAGAAACTAAAGTATTTAAACATACAAATAAGATTCTTACTAATATGTACTTACTATTTTGAGTAGGGTATATATATAAGTAGGGTATGGACAATCATGATATATAGTTAAGCACGCACGACACGAATACTTTTCGCTTTTCATGACTCACCAGTTCCTTCCTGAGCATCGATAGCTTACAAACTACTCTTATAAGCACATTATGTAATTTTTATGTAGCGTAGATTAATGTATCATAGAACTTTGAATGTATTTTTAATCGTTAAAATAACTTGTAGAACCAGCAAGGGATTGGAAATGACATACGTTACTACGAGTACCTTTTCTTCTATCCCTTCTCTTAATCCATGCAAAGTGCCATTGAAACTACCGCTTATTAGTCTTTTGAGGATTCATGAATTTGGTAAAATCTATTCTTGTCGTGTCTTCGTTGATAGATGTCACAGTCATTTACCAGTAACAAGTTCACGAGTATAGAAATTAATTAATAGTTACAACTTCAACACGTTTGTATGTTGTCGACAAAATTGTGCAAATAATAGACTCGTAGAAGAAGATATATTACTACTTAAGTTATTTATATACATAAGAAAGTTGTGAAATAGATTACATGTCGATAAAATTACTAAAATTCAATAGAAACATCTAAGCGCTCTTGAGATGCCTCTTCCATCCAATCTAGGTTTGTTACAAAACTTTGTTCAAAGACACCCTGACAGTTTAAGATTGTTGCCCCGCGGGATGCTCTGAATTAGAATTTTACTAACGTTAACGCTAGCCCTATTATATTACATTATAGCTCTCGGTGAAGAAACTTAGTTTTAGAGGAGACAAGTTTGAGATGTAAAGTACCACTCGCTCAACACATAAGTGAAGATAGTATGGATAAAGTACATTATCGAATATTTCATGTTATAAAGTTTATTGAAATAGAATATCTTTTTTTTTTAAATGTGTATCCCCTTTGTTACATTTATTATAAATCGGATTAAACGTTCATATTTAAACAAATCCCTCCTCTTCTTCTAGGCTGATACTACATTCGAGACCATTTCAAATTTAACCTTCGAAGCCACGCGGTTTGAAAACGGTCGAAAATTTCACTGCGAAGCTTCCAATGAAGTCACTTTACAAACGAATGACCAACCCATGCATGCCACCAGGGAGCTCGAGATTTGGTGTAAGTACCTAGATGATATATTAACCTTTCCAGATTTGTATGTGGAAAGGTTAATATATCATCTATGTGTGCGTGTGTATGTGTGCAATTTTAATAATCACAAGAATAAATTAAAGTACAATTAATTGAAAAAAATTAAATTAAAATTAATTGAATAAAAAAAAATGTTTTTATTTCAATGTCCTCCTCTTATTGAGTTTCAATAAGAGGAGGACATTGAAATAAAACCATTTTGGTATTCAAGTCTATACAAATAGATATTAATGAGGGTTGAGACTTGGATATGTAAAAATGACAAGCAATATTCCAAATGCTTACATAATTTACCAAGTTTATTTCTTTTGTATTGGCAGATCCACCGATTGTTCGAGTAGAGCCCAAAAACATAACCGTAGTAGAAGGCTCGAAATTATTGCTCAAATGTGAATATGAAAGTAACCCATCCTCTCTGGAAAAGGTCGTTTGGTAAGTATTGCCTTAATTAAATTAGATGTCTAGAAATTATACAGCAGTGAGAAGATATTTTTATTAAAGATGTTATTATTAAGGGTCTCTGTATATAAATTAATATTGATAAATACTATTTATGAGAACGTGACATCTTGAACATATGTTAAGACCGAAACCGCTTCTAAAGTCTTCATACATTCTAGTACCGAAGTTACATACTGGTCGCACTGCTAAGTTAGATAGATAGATAGATAGATAGGTACTCTTTGTTGCACACTGTGATTAGGAAACATACAATGTAAACACAAACAAAAAACAGTGATAGCGGCCTTACCGCAGTCTGCGTTCTCAGGTACCTTTAGATTTACTATACTAAATAGAAATATGTACGTGCGGTGCATAAAGACTTGACGAGACGAAGACGATTTCAAACAATTTAAACAATTTTATGAAATAAATATATTTCGAGTTTTATTACAGGGATAAATAGTGATCCTTGACGAGTTTTTTAAAAGTACTTACTTAGTTTGATTTAGAAAATCTGTTAAAGCCATAATTGATAAGGTCTCAAAATTGCATCAAAAATATATTTATGGCTTTTGTCCTCATCACAGAAGAAACCCTCGACGATTAACTAAAAAAGAAAATTGTGTATTGAAATAAGTGAATATTTTAAAAATAAATGATATACACTGAAAATAATTCATCAAGTAACTGTAGAGTTTAAGCTGTGGAGACTACTTTAACTTTAATATTAAAATACAAATAAAATTTTACAATATTTGTTAAACCCAAGTATTTTTTAATGCTTTATCAGATTTTATAATTATGACGCGTTGAACTAACCCTTACAGAAAATTTGTGTCCCTCAGCCGCTAAAAGCCGCCATTCTCATTCGTCGTCATTGACGATTGTGGTTTTGGGTTGTTGTCCAAATGTGTTCCATATAACTATGTTCACTGCTGTGAAAGTTTCTGAAGCTAACAAATCTAATAAAATATCCTATATTTGACAAAGACAATGTTATCCATAAACTGACTCTTGAAAATCAATTGATATATTTCTTTAATATTTGTGAAAATTGCCAAACGTGTAGCTATGAAACTAAGATTACAAAACTATTTTTTGTAAGGAAAATTTTGTGATGTTTCATCTATATCAGAGATAAAAGTGTAAACATATTTTTTTCTGGTAATAGCCGGTAAAGTAAATTTAATTCATGTAAGTAAAGTAAGTAAATAAGATTACCAACTTGGACACTAGACGTAACATACGCAAAAATTTAAACGAAAATCAGAATCGTCTAGGCTATCCAACTTTATATTCCAATATGTTTCAGCTATGCATAAAATCTGGACCAATACTAATTAATTAGTCCCTTTAAAAAAACTCTACATGTCGGAGATGAGTTCACCCTTAAATTCTATTAATTACTTTATTGGTATTGTTGGGTAATCCCTGATCATCAATTATATTTTGCTATCTGTGTCTTCCAGGTACCGTAACGGTGAAAAAGTAAATGTATATAACACAACACACTACGAAGGTGGTACAACGGATCAACATTCTCTAATCATTCTCAATGCTAACGGCGGCGATATGGGCAACTACACCTGCGTCCTTGGCAATGACGTTGGCAATGGCACTAGTGAAGAAAGTATTGACGTAAATGTCATGTGTAAGTTACCAGTACAGTAATTCAGTTTTTGAAATGTAAAACATTTTTGACAAGGATAGTTTCTTAAAAATGAGGTGGTTTGGATTTGTAAAAAGAAGTATATAATCTTAATACAAGTACGTAATGTACTGTAATGACAATTCCCAGAGGGGCCAATAGCGCAATAAAATCTAAAGAAATTTGTTCTTTTCTGAAAAAAAAGAGATGACGTGATAGTAGGCAAAACTTGTCAGTTATATAAGGATAGGGGAATATTTATATGTATAAAATATAAAATCACCGGGTTCCCCGGTTTTTGGTCGGTTCGAGTCCGACATAGCCACCCCACTGGTAGGTGGTATCCGAGGTGACTTCTGCACAGAAAAAAAAAACATGGGGAATATCGTAGAAAGTAGACACTAAAGACTTTTGTGCCTTGAAATATTGATTTCGTATATATAAACATGATCTTGATGTTCGTAACTTAAGCATACTAATACTTACTACTAATATTTACAGGCTTTACTGGATAATATGTAAATTAGGATTTAGTCAAGGTAGTCACAAAGTATGAAACCTTGTTTTTCTTTCCAATTGATCAAAATGGATCACAGATACTGATCGTAAATTGTCAGTGGGTGAAAATCAGGTTGAAACAGTCTTCTAAGAACTTATAAAGCAGCAGTGCTATGGTTAAAATGATGATATTGGTTTAACAAGTATTCATCACAGTTCTATATAATCAGCAAAAATCTGAATTTAACATTCAATCAAAAATTTATTTCAGTCAAACCACAAGTACGCCTAAAGATGGAACCTGCCAGCCCCATTCTGGAAACAGACCACATGAACGTGACACTGACCTGTGAAGTGGTATCTGGTAACCCTAACGTCTTGGATGAAGTCATCTGGTATCTGGATGGGGAAATATTAAAACATCTACCGGAATGTAATGGCACTGACGGTGAAGGTAAATTATAATAATACTTATTAATCTGATAATTAAATATTAATTATGTATTAAATTGTCGATTACCTATATCAGTAATTGCCTTTCGAAATTCGCTTGGTCCAAAATTTCTACGCATGAATAAGTGCACCTATATACAGGTCTTGGTGTTTTTCTGCACCACGCTATGTTCAATTTGGGTCCAGATAAGGAGTGTAATGTATTTTAAAAGTTAAAAGATTGTTGTTTGAGTAGGTCTTACATTAGATTTAGATTATTTGTAAAAGCAATATTGTATTTTATATTCATCATACCATTTTACAGAAAATCTATGCAACGAAGTCGACCCGTCAATGCTGTTGCTGCAGGACACAACCAAGAGTTTCCATGGCAATTACTCCTGCAAAGGCAAGAACTATGCGGGATGGGGCAATGAGAGTGCAAAGGCCGAATTGGTGGTCAATTGTAAGTAACCGATTTTAGACTATAATATCTTTAGTGTTTTAGAATTCATAAATTCGTTCTTTGTTATTGTCACTTTACTTTAAAGGACCAAGTATTAAATATGAATTTATGAAATACATGAAACTAAATGTTTTCAGATCCTCCGGGGCCTGCAAAATTGACATACTCCCCGTGGCGTGTGGTGAAGGGCAAGAGTTTGGTGCTTAGTTGTAGCATTAATGAGCGAGGGCGACCTGAAGCACACAGGTATATTCATTAGCAGATATGAAATATAAAATCAGGTTGACATAACATTTTAATAATGAAGAATAATATTTGAAATAATATCATAATAATAATAACCTAACATAACTCATCATCTCTCATCAACTCGCTCAAGGCACAATTTGTTGTCTTTGATGAGAATCGAACCCACGACTTGTGGTTTAGTAAAATCAGAATCTGTTTATTCCCTGTGGTGACGGATTTTGAATACAGAGTGTCAGCACCCCTATTCATCCCGTGGGTGTCGTAAGAGCCGACTAATGGAGGACAACAGTACTGTAAAGAAAAGGAAAACTACAAACCCTATACCAAAGTTTCTAAGCCGAGGCCTTTGTGCAGCAGTGGACTATTAAAGGCCGTTGATGAATCAGATTCACTAACAGCTGTACTAATAAGCCTGATACTGTTTTTTACTTTATAATTAGTTCAGATGTCGGTTATCAATAATCATAGAGTTAACTCAAGTTATCCCAATCGCTAGGGAGGACTAAAACTTAAGATTTTATTACCTCAACTCCTTGTCTGGATGAATAATGTTGATGTATAAAACAGATGATTGAAGTCTATCAGGGGATCAAAATAATTCATCTAGAGATATATTTACACTACCTGTTATAAGATTTTATAATTTTACAGCGCTTAGTTATTTTTTTTAAGTTTTAGGTTTCTTTTACATCAGTCTTCCACTTAACGTTTTTTTTACGGTATAAGGGGGCAAATGAGCAGACGGGTCACCTGATAGCAAACAACTACCGCCGCCCATGGACACCTGCAACTCAAAAGTCACAACTGCGTTGCTGCCCTTGGAGTCCCTTCCGCTCGAGTCAGCGGGATTTGGGCTCCGGTAACCTCACTCACTCAGTAAAAGGCAACGCAATTGCTTAACACCGGTTTTCTCTAAGGCCGTGGTATCAATCCGGTCGAGCCGGCCCATTCGTGCCGAAGCATGGCTCTCCCACGATATTTGATCCTACTAAGTACAATATTCATTAATATCATATTCAGCGAAGATCCTTCGACCAAGAATTATAATATTGTGATGTTGTACATGTACTAATCAGTGTGAGAACTTCAAATACTGTTCGAGCTCGTCAGATGGGTATTTCTCAATCTTGGAAAAAACTATCAAATTCAAACCCAAATTTCTTTATTTCATAAAATATTCAAAATTATTTGATATCGTATGTATGTACTCCATAAACTGTCTGTTACTTCGATGGACAAAAATTAAAACCGTTTTAACGCCTGTTCTAATACTATTATAGATTTCTTTACTAAGCTTTAGAAACACATCATTATCATCGGCCGATCGCAGTCCACTGCTGGTCATAGGCCTCTCCCATTGCACGCCACTTAGATCCATTTTGGGCTTCTCGCATCCAACTCCTGCCAGCCATCTTGCGCAAATCGTCACTCCACCTAGCCTGTGGGCGTCCTACACTACGTTTGCCGAGACGCGGTCTCCACCCGTTTTCCCAAACGGTCGTCGGTTCTACGGCTAATATTGATAGCCCACAACTTGCTGATCCGGTAGGCTATGTCGGCGACTTTAGTTCTCTGCCGGATCACCTCATTCCTGATGCGATCCCTTAGAGAAACGCCGAGCATAGCCCTTTCCGTAGCACGTTGAGCAACTTTGAACAGAAGCACATAGTAACATTAAATTTCATCATGTAATATATTCCTTTCAGATACCGCTGGTACCGTGGTGGACGTCTCGTCAGCGACATTGTATCACAAAACTGGACAATAGACCCTGTTACGTTAGATCATAGGACATACTTCTCATGCCATGGAATAAATGCTGGCGGTCCCGGGGAGATGGCAAATACGTCAATTGATGTGCTGGGTAAGTGAATTTTAAATTATTTTTGTCCATGTATTATTGATATTCGGGAACTTTCTCCTAAAAAAAATGATTACACTTCTTTACTATTTTCATTAAGTAAGTAAGTCCGGTTTGGTACTTTTTACCTATCCAAAGAGCCTGTCACAATATAAAAATTGTTAATATTCGTCACTAATGCTGTTATCTTCGTTAAGAGTACATGTTATGTTAGATCTAACCTAAGGTAGCTGGTGCCTATATCTTTATCTTTTACGTACCAGCTGTATTTTATAAAGAATTTAATATACTTAAAAAGATCTCCCTTTTCATTACGAGGTTAGGTATAACACAAATGAATTAAACCTCAATTAAATCAATACTCCGAACAAATTAATTAAACCTAAAAAAAAAACGAGGCTAGATGAATATGCCAAAATTGGTACGACCTAATATTTTATTTTGGGCAGTTATAGTGATACTAATTAAAAAAAAATCATTGAGCGGTGCAGACTTAGTAGTCACCACTCAATTAATAAGGCGAAAATCTCCTTTCTAAGAAGAGGCCTATGTCTAGCAGTGGACTATCGTAGGTTGTTGACGAGATGACATGATTCTTCAATAAATTATACTGGTTCATATGATATGCCTCTCAAGTATTCTGTTTTCTAAATATATCCATCACCACAATATATTTTTGAATAAACAATAACTTGTTTTTGAATTATTCCAGCTCCACCAAGTTTCAAATACGCAATGAACCACTACAGCGGTGCTTTATATAAATCTCAGGTAAGGCAAATTATAAATAGTTTTGTGCGCATGGATTGTTCTGTTAGTATTGAGATATCTGTAAAGGAAATAATAAATATGAAATAAATAGTGTAACTATAATTTTTTTTTAACATTTTCTTCATATTTAAGAAGAGTCTAGAGTCATGCAAACGACGAAGAAAACTGATTCTAGTCTATCTCTGTTTCGTGTGAAAGATATCCATTTTTCCACAAATTTCCATCTTTTTAGGTATCTATCTCATAATCCATCCATATCTTCAATCTTATAATTTTTATTCTTAAGTGCAATTTAACCTTTTATCTGAAACGCCTACATGTTTTTATTTTCTACAGTCAGTTAGGAGTATTATGTCAATTTTAATATGTTTTAACTTCTTCTCAGAATATATCTCTATCGTGTACAGTAGAGTGTGCCCCACTCTGCTCTGTACAATGGCTGAAAGATGGACAGGTCATCGACCCTGACAAGACAGATAGGTACTACGTGGTGGAGAGAAAAATCGAACCTCAGGTTAACAGAAATGATTTTGAAGCTACAGAAAGTACTTTGGTAAGTAATTTGCTATTGATTTGTTATTTTCATATTTTTTCCTGTACTGTCACATGTAAGGATATTAAAAAAGATTACCTTACTTTATTCGTCACTTTCACTTGCAATTTGGATATATAATTAAAAGCTTAAAATTTGTTTTGATTTCTTTCAGCACTGGAATATGTCAGCGTGGCCAGGGAATGCCTTGGACAGATCTGCAGACACTGCTAGTTACACATGCAGATCCTCTAGAAATTTAGCAGGACCGCCCGTCAACAGTACTACAAAGTTTGCTGTGGAATGTTAGTACTATAATTATTTCATCCTTTCGTTCCTATAATCATTCCTAAATTATTCCATCCGCCACTTTTTCTTCAAAGTCTACTAAAATTTCAACATGTTCTATGATTCAGCACTACTCAGTTCTTTTTTCAATTTCGTTTTCAGCCCAGGAATTTTTAAAAGATATAATGAACTAAAATACTACATTCTTTTAACTTTTTCAGATGAACCAGAGAACATTTTGGTTAAACCAGACATTGTGAGAGTGAACGAAAATGAGATTCCTGCAAAAGTTGTGTGTTCGGCCAGGTAAATTAATATTTTTTTTCAAATTTTGTTAAAAATATTTATTGTTAATTTACTGTTCACTACTTAATTATCTACTGCTTCATGCCTTCAGAGGTTTTCCTATGCCATCTTACACTTGGCGTCGGGAGCATCCAAGTAAATCAGCAAGCAAGGACCACGGCAACAATTCTTTGACTCTTTCGTCGTCTAATACGTTACTTTTGGGACCAGTGCAGAGAAAAGATGGTGGAAATTACTCATGTGAAGCCTATAACAGACATGGTTCAGAGAGCACTGTTGTAATATTGGATGTTATGTGTAAGTTTATTTTTATATTATTTACTTTTTCTAATCTAATCCAAGACTTTACTATACATAATAATTATTTTATTTATATGTTTCAGATGTTCCTGAATGCGGTATCAAACAAATCGAACTCAATGGAGAACAAGTACTTGTTTGCAGTGCCAACGCCAATCCTGCAGAGGTAATTCACAATATTCATTATAATAAAACTTAAAACACAAAACTTGCACATTTGACGAAATTTTTAAAGACTGAACATCGTTTGATTAGTGTACCGAAATTCCATAATCCCCAAAATTTCAAAATCTTGAAGCACTAAATATTTTTATTATCTTAATGTCTAAATCTCAACGCGTGTCATATCTTATGACTGCTCACTCTTACACTTATAAGTGGAAATTTAACTTTCTATAATTCACATTGTCTTCAATTAACACCAAATCATTCTTTCCACTATATTATATTAATTAGATATTTCACTCTAATATCAAATTCTAATATTCGTAACGTTGCAACACATATTTTCAAAGAATTATACCCTAAACTTTAGTAATCATAAATATGTGCATTGTATGAACAGGTCACATTCTCCTGGAAGCTGAAGAACGACAATGACAGTCTAACAGATGAGAAAATCACTCAACAAGGAGTACATAGCTACCTCTACCTCAGTTCCAGTGTCGATGTGTACAGAACTTATCTATGCTATGCCAACAATAGTGTTGGAATGTCCAGAGCTTGTGAGCGTGATGTTATGGGTAAGTCCGTCCAAAACATGTATAACAATGAGGTAGCATAGTTGTATTTAAAAAAAAAAGTCAAGGAGAAAATTTAAAATTATTTAAATAATAAAAAGACGAAAAGTGACAGCTACAAACAACACGTAAATATACTTACTTGTAGTACCACTTACGTAATAGGGAACAAGTTTATTGCCGTCAACCCGGCACTTTAGGACTTAAATGGGTAAATTGGAAGGATAGTTTAGAAACTGAGACTTTGGGAGAAATGTGATTTTGGAGAGAGTGAGCCATAGCTTGAACTCTAAATTGCATTTACGAGTACTGGACACGAATGCTTCCAATGTTTTGATTTTATGGTCAATTTAAATTTTGTTACATGTATCAATACCACTTTAACAAGTTCTTTTGATTTACAGCCAACTTGGAAAGCTTTGGTAAGTCGGCCGGTTAGTTTACAAGAATGGCTTTTGATAATATATAAAATCAAATTAATATCCCCTAAGGGTATATGATAATTATTATTATTATGTCAAATTTGTAGTACGCTTTATACACATATTTTAAAAATAAACTGAAACATATAATGATAATGATTTTAATGTTGATATTGCACAAAATATAAACAATAGGATTGTTAATGTTTCAAAGAAAATATTGCTCTAAGATTTTTAATGCTTACTTAAATTGTAGTATTTACTAAATTTAGATAAAAAAAGGTTTCGTTACCATTAACACAAGGTTATAAGTAATATTATTCATATTCCATCGAATCCAATATGTACACTTACATAAATTACATTTATTTGCATTCAAATAATTTTTTTATGTAAGATCTATATTTTTTTACAATTTCATCATTCAAATGTTTTTTTCATAGGTACAAAGGTATGGTGGCGTGATCAGCAGAAACTCATCCTTATTGGTGGAATAGCTCTTGCTATCCTCGTCATCACCGTCATCCTCTGCATCATCATTATCTGCATCTGTCGTAGGATGAGGGCTAAATCCAAGTGTGAGTATTTGTTGGACCTTTGTTATATGATATAGAAATCTGTATGACAAATATATTTTGAAGAATTGTATAGCTTATTTTTATATTTTCAAGGTTCTTTTTAGTTTGGAGTGTACGTAATTTAACTTAATGTTACATTAAATTACATTGAACCTCATTAGATGATGTTTTCTCTTATTTCTTCGTTCTTGAAATGTCATACAGATGGCCTATGAGCTTTATTGTTTCTTAGTGTTGCTTCCTTTGTTTTTGTGACATGTTTCACTGTTGCTTGTAATGTAAATTCACAACTATAGTTCATTCGCGTTAAGAAAATAGTTACGCATCGATCAATCCCCGCTCATTGACCAATCAGGTTCCAAGAAGTTATCGTTTCGTACGAAGGTATGGACCCTGATTGGTAAAGGTACGAGTCTTGATCGATGCGTCACTATCTTCGTAACGCGAATGGACTTTACTTCACAAACCATTTTACATTTTGTTGTAACATATGTGTCGTCAATTACCACATTACATTTTTTTAATTTCATTTAATATTTTAGTTAGTTATATTTAAAATTTCATTTTATGTAGGGTACTTTAACTATCATGTTTTATTTTTGTTTTTGTGAAAACTAACGTAATTTTTTTTTCTTCATCTTCTCGGACGCTGCTAATAAATACTGAACATCATGAACTAACAAACAAACAATACATGTAGACAATAATCCAGTTGAATTAGAGGAGCGCGAAAAGTAAGTTTTATGTTTATTTTATTATTATTTTTATCTCTTAGTATGTCTAGTAATAGTATTTTCCAATAGTTAAAATTTTGTTTCAACACTACAACTTATATATTGTTGGAAAGCTTTAGTTTTAAAGTTATAAATAAAGCACTATACTTCGAGGTAGTTACATTTATTTTATTATTTTTATCACGTAAAAACTTTCTAACAATATTTTAAAGCAGTTTAGTACAAACCCCAAAAATAACGTAAAAACCTTTAGACAAAGACCCTTGATTTTAGCAAAATACTTATTTTTATCGTTGAACTTCACATTTATTTATGTATACAAATATTTTATTTATTTTTATTTATTTATTATGTCTTTAGTGAAATCAATTAAAAACTTTGCAGCCACGCCATTGGTCCGAGCAGATTCATGGCACACGTTATCAATGCCACCGTCAAGGTCCCCCGTAGTAGTGCCAACCCCGATGTCGACCTAACAGGTCAAGAAGCTTGGAACTTGAGTTTGAGTGAAATACTAAATGCTTGGACCAACGGCTGTTTTGATTTTTAGACTCGTAACTCGACTACTCGAGAGCAATGAATCGGATTCATAAAAATATACCAAAAAACTCCGTTACTTAGACTTGGCTACTAAGAAATGGAGATTAGTAGAGAATTTGTTACTCCTTAAATGATAGTAATTTTTGTTTTAATAATTAGCATTACATTCATAATAAACTATAAAAGGATAAAAATCTCACCTTAAAATAACACTTTACGATTTTCTTAAACAGTAGTTCTTTGTGTAACTTCCACGTTCTCTCATGACTGCGCTTTTGCGATTTAATAGGAGGTACATCATGTTGCATATTTATGCGATATTGAGCAATATCTCTGTTTTCCCATTCCCTATGCTATTAGATTTCGAAACGTGATTGAGGGAAGGTTTCATTCTTTCACACATCTACCAACTAGTCATAAACACTCTCAATTGGCTTGATAGCCACTACATGCCGTTAATTCACCTCACAATCCGTTACGAACTCATTGCTCTCAAGTGTATTTAGTTTTGGCGGCTTTAAAATATGCTGACGGTTTTATCATCTTTATATATTTTTAATAACACTTCCAAAAATATCAAAAATCTTATATTTCGTAAAGTAATATTGGTCAATGTCAGCCATATTTTAGCAGCTGATTGTTCTGGCTTGTTCCTAGATAAACAAATTTTAGAAATTAGGCGCATGAATTTTATATTTTACTCTTGACATTATAACACAGATTTTTGTTTATTTATTTATATTATTGTGTACTATTATTAATAATTATTAATGTGTAGGTTCCTAACCGCTCTTACCCCGGACGTTCTCAGATTGACCACGATTAATTCTTCAGGTACTAACAAAAATGAATACGTTCTGAAAAATCTATTTTTCCATTTATTATTTTAGATGGAGGATGCTTTCTTATTATTTCACTGCTATCTTGCTAGTTTGTTTTAAAGTTTTGGCAGTAAAGTGTGAATATTGTAGACACCAGAGTAGTCGGATTTTGTCAAAATTGTAAAATATTTTTATTCATGAACTGGGTGATGCATGATAAAAGTAATTTTAAGAGTTTGGAAAGCATTCCTCTTGTACAAATATATATACATTATTTTTCATTTTCATAATTTAATACTAAAAGTATATTTTTAATAGCATCGTATTTAATTCACAAACTTAATTTATATTCTTGAATATCTATATAATTTTGAGTTATATTTTACTCTAAAGTTACCTTCTTATTATAATTATATACTTAATATACATCTTCTCACTATAGTATTTAAAAATATTTTATTGTAAAATTATTATACGTAGGTATTTCAATACTGGCATACATTTCAGTGCTTAAAATTATTATTATGAAAACTAAGTTACACATCATACCTACCATATATTCAAAAATCATAACTTTTTTTATATTCAGTCCAGATGGTAGCTGTATTAACGAAGTGTCTATCGCGCAATCGATCATATCTCAAGCTTTGCCTGCTTTGTCACCTAGAATAAATCTATCATTTAGTTCAAAGACATCTGATAGAACTAGATTGGTTGAATCACAAAGCTACCCACATAATTTAGAAATGAACAAAATAGAAGACGAACCTGAACAAACTACAACGCAAGGGGAGAATCAAGAAACTGAATTACAGACACCGAAATCAGAACCAAAAGTTGATTCAAATAAAGTTCAAAATGTTGTTACACCTAATAAATGGCCTTTAAAACCTGGCGTGCTTGTACACGTTAATTCAAATCATACTTTAAGTCCAAAGAACCAAGCAAGACTTCATAGTCAAGCAACTCCAGAAGAGTCAAACTTAGGTCTTCTAGAAAGACCTAAAACAGAAGAAAAATCTCCTCCTAAAATCGAATACTCTAAGAAAAGTGGGAAACCGAAGCAAAACGTAGTGTCGGGTATTTTAAAAAATATTCGAAGAAAAAGCGATGATTCCGACGACGATAGCGGCAAATACAAGAAAATTAACAAGACAAATAAAAGGGCCATGTCCTTAGTTAATATGAATAAGACTGCATACGTTGTACAAAAGAATCGGTTGAAATCGTTGTTTCAAAGTGAAAAACCAAACATTATCGTTACTGAAGGAGGTAGTAGTCATTAATATTTTCTAAAGTGTTGATGGGTGACACAATATTCCATTACGAAAATTTCGAGTCCGTATCTTTTACATTTTTGTTTGTTTTTATTTTTTCTTTTACATTATTGTATCACACATTATCACGTAAAACATCATGCTTAGATCAGTTTTTCAGCGCTTTCATCCTTTTTGCTTCAGCAGCTAGATGGCTACAATGGCTCAACAGATTTGAAACTAAATTCATGCACTTTAAAGTTTCCTAGAATTTATTGAGCTACTGTAGTATTTTCTAGCCTAGATTTTTCTTACTATTAAATGAGTAATCCTTCCAGTGCAAAATTTTATTAAATTTATATTCGGTTAGAGAATATATTTAAAAATGCAGCGAAACTTATTACACCTATTATGGAAAAGATTTTGCATTGGAAAGGCTTACTGATAATAAAGGCATGTTTGTAAGCTTCGCCAAGCACGATTATTTTGCAATTTTTGTTTTAATACCAGCATGTTTTTAGTTGTATCGTTCAAAAGGCCTGATAGGATAGTCACTACTAGCGCCAAGGTTAAACCCTTTACCGATGAACAGCCTAAAATAACTCGAAAACGGAAAAAACCAGGTGATAGTAAGTAGAGCTTGCTTCTTTTACTTTTTCAATCGTATTTTGCGCTGACTAGTTCAAAGAAAAAATATATTAATGAATGAGACTAAGCATAAGAATTGTATCTCATATTTGCGGATATGTCTACGTCTGTCATACGAGATGATTTTTTGATCAATGTATTTTGAAAAATGTACGTAATTATAAACATCACAGAGTCAAATTCTTATAAATTTCGAAGAGTTCAGAGTAAAGAGTACGATGAGTTTATATTTATTACTGTTTTTATAAATGATTCCAGGCCCACCTACGAATGGCGTAGATAATGGTGCGAACGGCAATCTTGGAGCGGACAACCCAGGTCTCTACGAGAACCTGCCGTTCCATGGATTACAACAACCTCCCAACAAGGTAAAAAAAAATATACATGTTTTTTCTCCATTACTTTAGTTTTTTTTTTTAAACGCTTTATTATTTTTCACTTCTAAAAGTAACAAGTACAAAAAGTAAGTAGTTTTTTTGCAAAGTAAATATCAACAAAAGTGCATTATTGTAGAGAGCTAAACTTACAGTTGTTTTAATGTATCTAATTTTTTAACTTTTCATTTACCTTTATTTGTGGAATATTTCACTGCTTTACTTATAATTTGCATTTTGTTTTGTTTCATGTGTCTTAATTTGCATGTCAAAGCCCGTGCAAGCTATTCAACCTCGAGTTATTGAAACTAACCCTAAAACTTCAAAAGGAATTGAAGCTTTACAAAAACAACTGACTACAAACCCATCGTTCACTCCAAGGATTGTATGCCCACCGTTCGTTCAAAATGCCATACCATACCCTATGGCTTCAAACTCACAATACACTTACGGAATACCGATGTTATCTCCCATACAACAAATGTATCCCTTGCACCAAACAGTTTTACTAAACCCATACTTACCACCGATGCAGACGTCATTTTTAAAACAATTTCCTACTATTGATGAAGAAATTCCAGAAGGAGATACCAGAAAATTCTCTTCTCTTAACACGAGAATAAATCGCAAGTTACCTCAATTTCAATCAATGAGGTCAGCTAGGAAACGAAATATTGAAAGATTTTATCCTAATACTGAATATGGAGAAAATTTCAATGAGATTAATAACAATAAAAATAACGAACATGCTGAATCTCTTGAAGATAATATTTACGTTAACTGTCCCTCTTTGCTCAAAGTTAAGTCAAATATAAGTGGGGTTGAACAATTTGAAAATCTTACTGATTCTATACAAGTTTGTGATGAGACTGATATCAATAAATCCACTGCCTCCTTAAATAGACCTGTACCAGCCCCAAGAACCAAGATATCACCTATTGTATCGCCATCTAAGAGTGACCATGTGTACGTAAATCTTTCAATGCCCTTAATTAACACAAAATTTTCCAAATCAGTCGATACAGTAGACGCCCCTCTAAGATCTTCAAAATCTGCTGAGGAAGTGTCTAAAGCAAATTATAAAGACTTCAAAAGTAAGGATGAAAGCGAAAGTGACGAAAATGACGAGCTTCCAGACAGTCCTCATGATAATGTGAAGAATATAGCATCTAAACCAAATATTATTGGAGCGACACCAAAAAAAAATCTGTCTATTATCCTACCTTCCACTTCATTAGTTAAATCAGTTGTCCGGCAGTTGAACGATGAGGGTATAAATAAAATTGGTTTACCAAAAAAACAAGTAATTACACCAAATAAGACATTGCAAATACCAAAGCTAACGGAAAAGCCGGTACCAAAGCGCTCCGTTGTTAAACGTAGTCATTCGGTACAAAGTAGTCTAACAGCCGACAGTGATTACAGTCAGGTATAACGCTATATTGTTGTTCTTTTTTCGTTCCTTCTAATCTAATATGTGTTTTAATCACTAACATACTAAATTCGTTTTCAGAATACTAACATATTACAACAACAGTACATGCAAAAACGTAACCACTTCACAAATATAAGCAACAAAGGAAAAAGCAAGAAAAATTTTCAAATACCATTACAAAAACATCATAGTTTTTGTTACTTTCAACCTATAAGGGTAGATAAACGGATTCCTGTAGACCAAGAAAGGTCCTACAATAATACAATAGGACCGTTAATTTACCAGCCTTCAGAAACACAATATTACACAAAGACTTTAAACAGGACGAGAGAGAAGAACAGTCACAAATTAAATCGTTTGAAAAAGTCAGAAAGTCTAAGAGAAAAGCTCTCATGTGTCGGTATTTATGACAATTACGAAAAACCCGACTACCCAGAGCCAGAATATAATGAATCAGAAAGAAAATCTTACTTACAGTTGCTTAAAGGCAACTACATATCAAATTCAACGAGACAATTGGGGCCTGAACACTTTAGTCCAAATTATTTGGGTCCCAAAGACGATAAGCCTAAACAAAAAAAATTAGTTTACGCCGACTTAGCTTTAGGTAACCATAATTTGAAGTTTAAAAATACTGTCAATTCAAATAGACATTTGTATGATACTTATTCAGTAGGTACGGATAGTGCTAACAAAGATACTAACAGTAGCTATAAGAGTATGTCTAGTAATCAGAGAAAAAATAGTCATGGACAACCGAGAAGTGACTACGCTACTCTGAAATTCAATGAGATTGATGTTTGAGAGGTAAGTGATTTTTGGATAACTCTATATATAAAAAAGTGTGTGTCAGCTCCTGGAGTTTACTCGTTAAGAACGATTTGGATGCACACAAGTATACAAGTTATACACACACATGTGACAGGTGCGCACGACAGGTTGCACACAAAAAACGTAACGAGGTCAATCGATCACTAAATTTTACTCTTCATATTTTTTTCATACTAGGCGCCTTTTTTAAAAATCGATTCTTAAAGAGTAAACTCCAAAGTTTAAAAGTAAATAAATTTTGCTTTGACACTAATTTTAGTGTAAAATTCCCAAAATTAATTAAAGGTTTTGTCAAAGTTTTAAATTAAAAGATAATCTAAAATAAAAATAAAAGTTTAATTAAAATGGTAATATGTGCCTAAGTCAAGTTATTTCTGCTATAAAGCATGAATTTCATAAGAATTAAAATTGTATAATATTAAGAAACCTGTGTTCGGCACTAATTTTAATAATTGTCAGCTACTGAACTTTTCAAGCAACATTATTCACGTAGTTCCTCTAATACTCCATTCATTATGTAGGAGGATTATATTTATTTACAAAATCATAATATATTGATAAAATATTAGCTCTCATAAGTTCTTGATAGCTTAATGTAGATTTTATTAATTTTTTTTTTTAATAAAGAGCCTGTGTTATTCCAGGGTACGTAAACATACATATACTAGTATATTATCTATGTGCCGAATTTTAGCATGATTTAAAAACATCAACCCAATTATTGCATTTATAGTTAACTAGCTTTTGCCCGCGGCTCCGCCCGCGTGTATATCGGTTAGCCTATCTCCTTCTTTAAAAATCAAACTATCTCTATACCAAATTTCATCTAAATCGGTTGATTGCCCATACAATTTTCCACCCCTCTTTTCACTCCTTTAAAGGACGATTTTGCGAATAAAAACTATCCAATGTCCTTTCCCGGCACTCGATTTATCTCAATACCAAATTTTTATCTAAATCAGTTCAGTAGTTTAAGCGTTAAGAGATAACATACAGACAGACAGACACACTTTCGCATTTATAACATTAGTAGAGTATGGATTGCAGTAAGATACGCTAAACTCTCATAACCTTTTGTCCAAGAAACACTCGCTTTGGATAATTTTGAACTTAATTTATTTCTTTTAATTGTAGTGACAATTATTTTAAACCTAGAAGTCGCAGTTAATTTTAAATAATAATTATAATATGTGCGTGAATAATGTTACATGTTGTATAAATTAATTAAATATTTAATGTAAGTGACCGATGAGCATGAACCCGCAATGTTGTGACGTTTTTATTATTTCTTCTAGGAACGCTTTACCAAGAGTGACACATACATTTTTTAATTAAAGGTAATTTTTCCAAAATTTTTTTGGTATTCGCTTTAATCATTCGTCATTGCTTTCTAAATTTAACTTATACTAATTAATTACAACAAAATACTAAAGAAATTGCATTGAATTTATGTCTTCAATTCAATTTATTATAGTTTTTTAATTCAATTGAAAAAGGTTGTATTTTTACATAGAACACAATATTTTGGATTGAACAATAAAAATCAAAATCATCAAATTCTAAAACAAAAACTAATAGCTAATTATTAAATATTAAAACTAAAATATATATGTCTGCACTAATTTTCATTAATCTGCGTAATATATATATTTATAAATATATATTTAAATAAATAAATAGTCAATTATGGACTTAGATAACACATATTACCATTGTAATTAATGTTTTACTGAACAACTTACTTTCAAAAACAATTCAGATTTTTTTTGCTTTTCCTGTACTTTTTACTTACTTTTTCCTATTTTTTCCAGCCGTTTCGACCCGAAGACCAATTCATTTACGCAGATGCGGATCTTAAAGACTATGGGCCAATAAACTATAAACAAGCATCGATCTACGCTCAAATGAAGAAAGTAAAAGAACAGCAAAAGTTGCAGGAAATTTACGACAAACAAAATGAAGATATGCTGTGATGACGAACTGGTTGGCAGAAATTACTCGTAAAATCAATGTGTACCAAAAATTAATGTAAAATGTTATTGTTTTTTACAAACCAAACAACATTTTTTGTATATTGTGACCTAAAAGCGTATTTCTTCGGTCCGTTCATGAATAGGTGCTGTTAGTATTTTCGTCATTTTTCTAACAATATTTTTATCATTTTAATATTATTTACATACAAATATATAACAGTAAATATTGTAACAGTAACAAATCGTTTTTTTTTTTATTTATATTTGTTACCCAAATTAATTCGGCAAAATATAAAAGTGTTAGCGTCTAAAAACTTTATTTTGAAATGGTAAAAATACATTTTGTATTATATTATTTTTACATTTTTTGAATAAGAAAACCAGAAAAATACTTAAGTCCCCGCGTCAGGCAGCCAATTAAAAACGAAAAATGTCAAAACCGTAAATATGAATTGTATTAAATTAGATTGTACTGATCATTTGTACGTTTAAGGAGGTTGTCGTTGTATATTGTAAATAAAAAATAGATTTCATATATAAATGTATCTACAGTAAATCTAGTAGTCAAATTAGTATGAATTTTATGCTAGAATATCGATTATTTTAACTAAGTATACTTATGTTTTGAATACTGTGAAATATCTTCATTAGATACCTGTGTATGTAAATGTGTTTATTTAATACCTACATAATATATTTAATGAAATCCATAAAATGAACACAAATCACCCGTTTATTGAAAACATAATGAATCCTACCTAATATATTAATAAATACTAACACATTTGACAGTTAAACTCGGTTTTTTCTTTAACTTTGTGTAACAAATAAATCTGTACAAAAGATTATTTAATTTTTAGCTTTGTGTAATAGTTTTTTTTTTCAATTATTATTTAAAATTTACAATTCATAAATTTTGTATCATATTTTACCACTTTACTTTTGATTTACTTAGAATCAATTTATATATCAGATATATTCCCCGGAAGACAAAGGCACGATACTAAACTTATCGATATTTGTATACAGGAATCTATTAAATATCGCAAATATTTCAGAACTAAAGCTTGAGTTCCGATTTGAGTTTTGAGTTTAATTTTTAAGCACAGCAAGCTTTTGGTAGTTTGACAACACATAGAGATTTTAATATCCGTCCAAGCGGGAAATGTTTACAAAAAAATAGTTCATTTTTAGCTGAATTCGTATTTATGTAATTTTAGTATAAATTACAACTACTATCGTGTAAAAAAATAGATAAAATATCTAATTATCCAATCATAGAGAATTAGAATGGATATTGCACGAACAGAGCATTTTGTGCAAAATTTGCACAAATATAGATGTGTTCACGGAATGATGTTGAAATAAACGGCTCGCAGCACAATCGGCATTTATTTTTTAACTTTTTTTTATAATCACATTTTTTTACGATTTATCACAACGAATCTTAATTTGTATTAATTATATTTAAGTAAGTTTTTTGTACTTTGCAAACGCTAGCCAAACGGCAGTATTTTTAGGATCGCTTGTATAACTTTGTTGGTGTATGTAATTGTGATAATAGCCTGAACGTGTACCAATGGTTTCATGAAAAATACTTTCTTAATGACTCCATTACATCTTTATATGTTTTAACTATTTTACTGTCATTCAAAATCCTGCCTAAAATCTTACGTAAATAATAAGTTGTCGTACTAATGTATATTAAAACATGAAACAAATAAAATATCGGATGATGCCTATTTTCAGTTCAATTCTTTCTTCTAAATTATTTTATTTACACAATAATTTGATATTTGGCACTAGATCTGTGCTTCTGAACATTGTAATGAGCGTGATATTAACTCTATTCAATCGTTTATGATTAAGGAACATACAAGTTAACGTTTCATTTAATTACGTATTTCAAATAATCTGATTTGATAAGATTTGTATACTTTATGACTTCTACCAATGATTTTTACCCCGATAAGTTTCATTTTTTTCTATAATAATAGTGTTAATGTACGCACTATTGTCACAAAATGTAGAAACAAAATAATAATAAAGAAATTAGATGAGGTTTTGTACATACAAACTTGTTATAATATTGACAAATAGTGTTATTAAATTAATTTATGGATTTTTAATAGATGTTTTATTTATCTCCAATTAATATGGAAATGTAAGGCAAAGCAAGCATACATGAAACGGACACAAAGAACACTCACACTCAGAGAACAACTATTTTTGGATCAGACAAAGTGTCGTCCCATGTGGAGTTTGAATACAACACTCCAACCATCCATGCAGTCGAAGTAGTACGCAGTAGCTCTATGGCGGTCTCGGATTCAATTTCCAGCCAGAAAAAATAACTAATCATTTGTTCTATATTTAGGTATAATTTACCTGTAAGGGGATCGGTAATTAATCACGTGCTGCGTGTGTATTTTAGCAACTGTTTAACCCCCTTCCCCTTGGTGATATGTGGTGAGGTTTTAGACTATCCCCCCTACCCAAAATCACATCTATTTAAAAAAAATAATTAAAGACAACTCCCGCACTAGGAGTATATTCTGTGTCGCGGGGGACTTTACATACATACATGGAAACGGACACAAAGAACACCCAGACTCAGAACAACAATTTCTAGATCACACAAAGTGTTGTCCTGTGTGGGGATCGGACCTACAACTCTCAGCGCAGTAGAAAGAGGCAAGGTGACCGCTTGAACCACTACGCCATCCATGCAGTCGAACAGTTTTGGTACAAAGTACTCGTATATTGAAATTTTCACAATCATCATCATCACATCATCATCAACAGCCTTTCAGTCCACGGCCACATAGGTCTCTCCTTAGAAATGAGGTTTTGGACTAATATTTTCAAAATATTGTCTTTAAATACAAGTATAATCTAATTAATTCTGAAAAATTAAAAAATGGACGTATTTAGTAAAATATAAGATTGTTTATCAGTAGTCTAGAAAGCTGAATCTTTCTAAATTCGGACTCAAGCGCCTGATGAATCTATTATTATTATTGTTGACTTAACTCCAGATTTAATTTAGGTAATCCTGTAAGATATTTTAGGAAGTTTGGTATTAATAAATAAATGAAATACATATATTTTCTAAAATTATATTTTTAATACTAAGTTACAAAAAGAAATGATCCTAAAGTTACAATCAATTATAAAATATATCACAGCCTTATTGTAGAAACGAAACATGTCAGTTTCCCATTTAGTTATAGGTTTTTAAATGAAATAATCCAAAAAAAAAAAGTATTTTTTTTTGGATTATTTCATTTAAAAAAAAATTTTTAGATTAATTTTTTGTTGTAGGATATTCAGTTACGTTATGTTTAAATCTCGACCCACGCATCGGTGTTGTTGAATCTATTAAAACATGGGTTACCGGGGGTCGTTCATTAGTACAAATCTGATAATTTTAATGAGCACTCGCATTTCTAGACAAATACGTAATGTATTATAGATACACACTTCCTCAAGACTTGTTTATATTATATTATTTACTTTGTTGTGTGCTTTAAAATTGTTGTTGTTAGTTCTCTCTATGAAACCTGTTACATTAAATTAATTCGTAATACATATGAATGTAGATATAAAATTATTACAAACAATTTCTTACAACTAGATCGTAACCTAAGTTTAATCTATAATTATGTACACGGTTGTTTACAATGAAACTACTTCATAAAATATATTTATAGTAATATAAATATATTACAATTCGATGACCAAATTAAGAAGTCTGTTAGACTGGACCTCAATTTCGAAATAAATTAAAACATCTGACCGAATACGCGGACCGGACATCGCAAATAAGCGGAGCGGACCAACCGATGACGGTCCGGTAAACATGAAATAAACACTCTTTATAGAAACAGATTATATCTTATTGTTATATTATTATGCTTTTTTCGGAGTGGATAATGTTCGCTTCATATTATCATGGATTATGCGCCGCCACGCTTTAAATTTGAAGTCTCGTTATTGGTGGTAGAATAACATTGATTTAATAGTAATCTTAATAAAACTGTCACGTATTTAAAATTTCTGATTCTAGACAGCTTAAAAAGTCATTCTTTTGAAATTAAAACAATATTTACAGATAGTACAATTTAGTATGATCAATAGAAGTCATACTGTCCCCTTCCAAAGTAAACGTAATCTGAACACCATTTCCTTGCTTGAAGGTCAGTAGAACAGCAGGCAGGGTATGCTAGCTTGGATTTAGTTAACTTCGCACATCTCTGGCAGAGGTCGAGGAGTTCATCCTGAAACAAGGAAATATTAAATTGAAAACATTTCGTTTTATACACAGAATATTTATAATATATATATCATAATTTCGTTTTGTATTCAATTTATGTAGTTTTTGGGAACAATTTAAAAATCGTGTTTTGCTCAGAAATTAATCATCAGTCAATGGGTTTGAGTGTTGAGTAAAGCCGCGGGCGGGTGTACACAAACAGATAGGTCCCCCCTGATGGCAAATGACAAGCGCGCCGCCCATGGACAAATGTAATACAAGACAATGCTTCCCTCTATAATCTTAGAATTGGGGAGGGGGGCAGTTTAGGTACCCACTCCGTGATATGTCCTTTTCCAAATTTTGTTTGAGGCAATTCGCAATATTGCAAAGGGTATTATATTATGACTGTGTAGAGAAACGAAAAGGAGGGATCCTCCAAACAGGCGGGGTGATTATGCCTGGAGGTTCGCGGCCAACGGTTAACGTTGGGAAGTTGTATATATGCTAATCAGCGAGAGAATTATTTATATCGCGATACAGGATTAGCAGTTGGTCTATAGTTCGGTGTGGCTCCGTTAGATGGCGCTGTAGTATATTTTTGTTTAATGTTATATGGAAGTCGCTACAACTGAATTACATTATGTCCGTCCACCTACCTGACTCAAACCGTCGTAATCGTCGTAATCGTTTACAGACGTGACTAAGGAAGAAGAAAGATTAGAGTAAGGAAATAGATAGAGCGGGAGAGCTAGGCGGTACTTATATACCGCAAATCTCGTATTGAGAACTGAGATAGCAGTAGCTCCAAGATGGGGGAGGTGTCCTGTGATTGGAGACGCTACTACGATAGAGGCACCAACTGGCCAATCCCGAAATGATACGCATAATTAACAAATTTGATAAGCAGGGTCAAGACCGAATAATCCATTTAAATAATTCGCAATTTTATTTCTGATATGCCAATTACACGTGGAGTGTTATTATCAACGAATTTTCATATTTTAAAATTAGGTTAAACTTCCTGTTATCTATATGTTTGTGTCAAAACTTCTGATTAAAGCAACGAGGTATAGAAAGATTATAATAATTAATAAATCTGGAACATTAACTTTTAAATATATTCAAAAAGAAAAAACAAATTTATCGTAAAAGCTAAATGTAAACAAATCAATAAAAGCTTACTAACTCCTTTGAAATATCTTTCTTCCTGACCTCTATTTCCCATCTTTTTTTGTCCTTTTTGCAAACGATTTTATGTCCATGAAAGATTCTAGTCAAGATTCCGCCACAAAATAACCTAGATAATGCTCTACCCCTCTTCCCCCTAATGCTGGGGGGAGCAACGCAAAGAGCTGCACCGCACTTGTGAGTGTTGAGTGCCAGTTCTCCATGGGTGGTCTACCACCACCCATGTAGAACTGGAACTCAATAGTCACTTATTATCACCCGTCCGGTGACCCGTCTGCTCGTTTGCCCAGCAATACTAGCGTCTGTCGTAAGTAACACCTGCATAGATCCTAAGACCTTCCCTCTATCAGACCAGAAATACGTGGCTATAAATCGGTAATTAAATAAGGGTGCATCTTTATCACGAGGTTCTTGGACTATACGAAAACAGTCCGGAATCCGATTCTGTCAGACTTGGGACCAAAAGAATTATCATGTACTTACATCTGTATGGCACTCAGCAGATTCTGTAAAAACTCCACTGCCAGATGACTGCCACGGAGGCCGGGCGGTTGATTCCTGGACGAGGATCGCCAGGAATATCACCAGCAACAAACACGCGATTGTGGTTCTCTGTGGACAAAAAAAATACGTTTATTAATTTATTTCAAAACCAGAACACACAGGAGAACAGTCGCAAGTCTAGAATGGCAAACAGACGCGTTACAATATAATGAAGAGACTATCGTATCGACATTTGTTGTTTGACGCGTCTGTTGGTCTAGTGGTTAGTGACCCTGACTGCTTAACCGGAGGTCGTGGGTTCGATCCCACCCAGAACAAATATTTGTGATACACGATGGTTTGTTCTGTGTCACGTATCTAAAATATGTATGTATTTAGAAATATATAAGTATGTTTATCAGCAGTCTGGTTACCATAGCACAGGCTCAGCCTAGTTTGGGATCAGATGGCCGTGTGTGGTTATAATTATTATTTGTATCTTTAAAAAACTTCCTTTTATTTAACCGGACGACTCAAACTTTAAAAAAGAACTTCACAACTGATGAAACGATTAAATAACAATCGGTCTAACACTTCGGTTATAAAATATAATTGATCGAAGATCTAAGATGTGTATAAACAAACAACCGAATGAATTGCTGTGTTATCGCAGATAACCTCTTTTTATAAAGAATATATTTTGTAGTAATTATTTATCTATAACAATAATTCATTATTATCAGTAACGATTTGATTAAAACTCTGTTTGTTTATTAAACAATATAGGTTACTAGGTTTCTATGCGTCAGTAAGTGACGTCGAAGAATGTACTTAGGTATCCATATCGCTCGTAAGTACCAGGTTTGAATCCAGGTCAAGAAAATAATGATTTTGTAACATTTGAGATCTTGTGAGAGGATGTGTAGTAAAGATTATAAACACAGTTGTAACATTTGACATAAACTAACTCTAGATGATAATATTATGGGCTTTTATTGGGTTACCGATGCACAAAGATCAAAGTTATTGTTTATTTACAATTTGACGGTACCTGTTTGTAAAGAGAAATGTCAAAAGTTGTGGTTTTCAGGACAATATGAACATATACTAATATTTATACATTATATTTAAAAATACTAATAATTACTCCAAGTCTTATTTATTGAAAAACTAAATTTACGGTTTTTTGGGTAAGGTCAGTGGATTTGTATTTCTTACGACCCTTAACGTATAAAAAAGAGATATGTTTTCAAGTGAAGACATGCCAGATTTTAGAAACAAGACTAGAGGAAGCCTGAGCATAGTAAAATATTTGCAGCTCAAAAAATCCAATCAGAATAAAAAAACTTGACAGCATTTGCGTATAACGTTATTTCAGTAACCAATAAAATATTTCCAATGCTTATTTCTTAATAATCTTAATATTGATAAAGATTGTAAGAAACCTACATCTCCTTAAAAAGGAATTTTGGCCTACTATACGAGTACAAAGCCTGGCAAGGCGGGTTGGTTTGGCGTTTGTTTCAAGTTTTCCTTTTCTTTGTAGTGGTGTTGTGTGTGTGATGTGATGTGCTGTGTGATGACACTCCGTATTTTTAATCTGTCACTGCACGGACACGGACCATAATAATATTATATTTTTTTATTAATATATGTAAAGACTTTTATTCATAAAAAGACAAAAACTGTAGTTTAACAACTTTACGAAACGTTTACCTAAACAACACGACAGTATCTTTATCCTAGACTATAAACTTCGCATTATCTCAGTTAACTGTTAAAATTTTAGTAGTCTATTTTTTTTGTAAACGTGTAATAGAATAAAGTAATTCGACATATTAGAACACGTCATGCTGAGTAACGTAATCTACGTTCATTTTGCACGCGTTATTTTGCACTCGGTAAAATTTTATATTGATTATTTTACACGCAAAAGAATACCATCACATGGAATGTTCCCTGTTCGAGGCTGAACTAAATAGCGAGCACCACCACTGTGTTAAGATGCGCCAAGGTATTATTATTATTGTAAATCAAGACATTATCAGCTTCCTGCCATTCTCCCAATTCTATTGAGAATTGGCTTAATATAAGTAACCGTTGCAAAGGGCTCTCCACTTTATCAAGCTGTCCCCAATCTTTCTTACTTGACACCCAAACGGACATCAATAAAGAATATCATTCACACGTTACACATAAATAAACACGGATATAGTTCAATCTTTCTCTCTCTTCTTTTTTACCTTCTTTTTTGACTGTTAAATTGAGTACCTAAAACTCTCTTCAACCCATTTCGTTCCTATCCTATCATATATCCATATCACGATAAGCCATGCAACTATTCATCCACTGGCGCAACTTTTAGGCTCTATTTAATGTATTACTTCATCCATCGTATTCACACACTACATTTTTTGCATTTGCATCTCATTCGTTCTCTTCAGATAACAACTTCTAGATCCGTACAAGACGATACTTCTCGCACCTTTAATAATAAACTGAATTAATTCAAAATTTACGTTTTTCGAGTTTTCAACAAATACCAAACCAACTTCATCAGTAGAACACGAACAATCGAACAGCCGACTCGATACCATGAAAATGGCAGAGATAAGAGATCGTCGTTCTCTTTTTGACGAACTCGCACGTACATGAATGTCAAACTTTAAATGCGATTTCCCACAATATTGAAATTCTAAGTTAATTCAGTTTATGAATAAAGGTGCGTTCTGATGATTGTCTTATAAAAGATAAAACCCAACTTAAAAATATAATATCTGGCTACATTTTCCATTTAACACGGAAATCTACACTAAAAGGTGTCGTTAATTCCTCTATAAAACGGTTATGAGTCCGATTTGATAATACTATCAAGCAGTAGTTAAATTGTGTTCATGTTTTACGTGCATGTAACAATGTTTGTAAAAAATCACATTTTTAATTCCTTGATTAGATATAATTTTAATGTACTGTTAAACATAACAATTTTGATAATTATACAGCCATGTAGCGATACACGCAGACTAGTATAGAGATTCCCTATCGGAAATCCCGGAAAATGTTCACAGGCCTCAAGGCAGGACACCTTGGCTGTTATTTCACGAAAGGTCAATGTCTTCACGGCCTTGAAGATTGTACAATGTGCAAGAAAATTGTATAATGTACTCCAGAAAGAAAAAGTTCTGAAAAACTCTTGCTGTCTGTAATTTGGTACAGTATCTTCTGTGGCGAAAAAGCAGAGATGTCAAGGTGATTCATTACAATTATTTATTATGAACATCCCTATTTAAACATACCCGGCTAAAACAGACTGCAAAAGAACTAGAAATTAATTGGAAAACATTAAAGCCAGTTTGTCTACAGACTAATCGCAGTACCTTCCTGTTATTAAATAGACGAAAACGAAAAAAAACGAGTAAAAAGTAAGTGAGGTTTCGGGAGTCTCAAAACCCTCCTCCCAACAATTCGGGAGGGGACTCAACGGGCAGTGTGTTACACACTTGTGAGCTGCCGGTTTCTATGGGCGGCGGTAGTCACTTACTATCAGGGGACCCGTCTGTTCGTTTAGCCCCCTGTACCATAAAATGATGGAAACCGAGAAATAGTACTATTGAACGAAAGAATGAATGAAGAGTTTCAGTTGGAAACACATTTACCAACGATTTTCCGCCAAAGTCAAAACCAATTATTTTCAATCCAAGTACTTTTGATTGATTAAAATTTTTGACTGTTTCACCTCTAGTCCCTTTAACGACTGTGAACAAACAAACAATTCTTATCCATTCCTTCCTTAAATGATATCATCAAAATCATATCTTGCATAATCTGAGTCGTCATTATTTTATTGTTTATAGACTTCGGTCAGACAATGTTATCATATACACATAACATTCAGGTGTCAACCTGTATCATCTCTATAATAACTTTTATGATTCACAGTGTCAACTTAACGGATGTTTTTGAGGTACATTAAATAGGTATTAACGTGAAATAATATCACGCACCCAAATAAGAACAATTTGGACTTGAAATGATTATGTTGGAGTTCAATCAACTATAACTCTATCTTGATGCGTCCTTTGGCCAAAATATTTCTTTCTCGCTCGTCCTCCTCGTCTGAACATCAGCCGAAGCAACAGAGGGAGAAAAGGCCTTATCTATTTCTTACCTTATCATGACTATGAGATACGTATTACAGCACTCAATTCTGAAAACCGTACACACTTAAGAAATAAGGAAATTCACAGAAGTCACAGATTTTGATAATTTAAAAAGCATGAATAAATGTGCCAAGTATTATATTACCAAGAATTAGCATGCGATACGTTTGTGGTTGTTACTAACGTACAGATAAATGATGGACCTTTGCTGACCCGACTCAATCAAAAAGAATTATTTTTAAATTTGTCGTTTTAACTCATTAAATTATTAACTGCTTTAAATTAGAATTCCTTTGTATGTATATCTAGCAAGATATTCACCTATGTCATCATTTTTTGCCCTTTCCTCAATTTTATTTTGGGTAAGCAAGAAGTAGGCCTGAGACCATAAAGCGGGACAGCTGGGATCCCCATACCCCACGGTGTATCAGGTGGACTAAGTCTGCAGTGTCTTATCCGTGTGGTGATGGATTAAGAATACAATGTCACCACCCCTATTCCCGTGGGTGTCGTAAGAGCCGACTAAGGGAGCAAATTACGCAGGACAACAGCACTGAAAGGGGAAGGAAAACTTGAAACAATCCCCACACCAACCCGTCTGGCCAGCTTGGTATAGTAGGCCGAAACCTCCTTTCTAAGGAGAGGCCTATGTCCAGCAGTGTTAATGAAGTCTGCAGGGGTCTTGGTGGCCTCTTTGATAGACTCAATACCTACAATAGACTAGTATGTATATGAAGAAACACCGTGCCCTTTTAGGCGGTTCGAGCCGACTTCACTTACCAACTCTATGGGTATATAATCCTTGTAGATTGGATGAAGGAAGAAGATAAGTCGGGGTAACTAGATATTGTTACCTTTATTTAAAAATAAATATACTAACTAACTTGGCAAGACCCGAGCTGTCTTCGCTGAACTTCGACCTGTGAGGCAGTCACGGATTTTAACTAAAATTATTCGGGATGTGAAACG